TCCGATCTCCCCAAAACCCCAAAACCCCGCTAGTCAATTAATGTTGATTTTTAATCAATTTATGAAATCAAATTCCCATATACATTCAATCATTTAGTAAATGATATTCAAAATAATCTCAATCTTAGTTCTCCTTTAGTTCTTCCTCCTCATCCTAATCTAATCTTTAAGGCTGCATTAGTATTCTATCTTTGACTTGATCATTGATCTCAAGTAGTATCTTACTATCATCCCTCGTTACCTGCTCACTTACTGCAATTAACCCACATATCACATTATCTTGTATATCCTTGCACAGTCCCTTATACTCTTCAATCTGACTGCGAGTAATATCTTTGAGTTGCTAATACTGCTATAATTGACTGTCTACTGACAAGCTCTACTTGCTTTTGTTGTAAGATTCAATGAAGTTGCCACGACACTCAATTGAATACTGCACTGATCGTAGATATCTCTGATAAAAAGCTACCTACTCCAGAAGCTTGTTTTTGAAGGTCAACATTATTTATCTCTGTCTCTCAAATTGAACCTCTAAGGCTAACTCTAGATTATCGTTGCCCTCATTTATAAAGTCTCGATCCGAAAACAAAGGGTTATTCATGGGTCTGAACTCCAAGAATCTCCTATGATGAACAATCAGATTATTAGTTGCTGTGACTTCTTTATCTAAAGTATCGATTTCACGCTCCAAGCCTAGCTTGAGGTTAGTGAAGTAGCCTAGCATTACCTTGGATGCAGCTACGACCTAGAGTTAGTACTCTGACTCTAATCTTACATCTAGAACTAATTGGTTCCTATATTATGGGATCATTGATGACTGACCTCTTCTATTCTGCGCTTTACTTAGAATGTAGTTCTTGATACGAGGGAGCTTTGAGAACAACGACTGCACCTAGTTTACTATGTTAGCTTACTTCCCGGCATGATAAAACTACTTATTATGCAGAAATTCCCTCAATTCCTCACACTTGCCCAATACTTCATGTGAGGCAATTCTGAGAAGAAATTACAAAAGCTGCTTCCTTCGGTTTTCTACGAATTCGCTGTCGTCACTGCTAATCTTGTCCTTGTAAGATTTCGCTGGTATAGGTGGAATTAAGCAATAAGGATAGTTTTCATGAAGTTAAAGGTAGAAAGACTTGAAATCTTTGAATCTCCTCTCTACTTCAAACAGAGAATGCTAATTGTAGCTTTGCTCATTAGTGAATGGATCTAGTGAAGGCGTCACTGATCCCTTTGAAGACATAGTTTTGATGTGATAAAGTCTGAAGCCAGGCATGTACCTATGAAAAATAGAGTTATCATCAAATAGGTCCAATTATTAGGGATAATTATTTTAAGGATAGGCACTTTACTTGTCCTGTTTTTTCCACTCAGCTTTGTGGATTTCTATAAAGTTTATGTAAAACCCTCCCATCAGAGTCTGGGGTTATACCTAAGAACTAGCAAGATCATTAGGCTATCTTATGATAGAATTCCTCTTTGGACTTTCTAAATCAGTCTTGCGATTCCAGTCCTTATCATACTCCTCTTCTTCCTCAAGAGCTTAATCTTTTCTGAGTTCTTGCTTGTTGCTATTATCACTCATTTTCTCATCATTCATTTTAATTTCAGTTTATTTACTTGCAATTTCTGTCGCATTCAAATTGCATGGGGTTTTGGGGTTTTGGGG